GACTTTCCGAAGAACATCAGGCACGATCCAACCCAGCACGGCCATCAACGCACACCCCCCCTTCTTTTTCCACCTACCTACCTAAGCGAACGTCTAACCAGTTGAACCCCCCCTGACTATTCCTATCCCCCCCCTCCCCCTTGCGAAGGGAAAAAACCTAGTTGCACACGAAGACACGATCTTCAAAGTTGCATCGATCTCTTGCGAAACCCGGCTCTCGCATCGTATTCAGATATATTTGATTTCCGGGGTTTACACCTTTCGCTTGCTTCCAAGTTCCAGTGGGTGAGGGGGGGGGCCCTACCCCCGGCCGACGCCCCCCCCTTCTCCCCCCTAATTCTCCCTTGCCCCGATCCGGGCCCCGGCCCGTTGGCCTCCCGGAACTCAGTTGCGCTTTGTAGACGACGCCATGCGAAGGTCGAGATCGAAAGTCTATCTGTCGAAAGAGCAAGCAGCAACAACTTCGTGTTTTCACTTGCCCTGCACTGCATGACTGCGCTACCGAAGTACTTTGACAGAGATGGATTTCCTTCGTCATTCGGCACTGTTTATCCCTCAGGACTTTACGCCCAATGCGGCCCCGCGCCCCAAGAGAAAGTCTGGGCGGCGGAAATGAGTGCCCCTAGCTCTGGATCCGTTGGCTCAGGGGTCTGAAACGGGAAATTAGCAACGCGCAGCACAGCACGGATCACACGCTTGGCAAACAAAACACAGCACGGGGAAAGGGTGCATAATCTGTCTTGTACTGGTCAAAATCGATTGGTCCATCCGTCTACACTACTCGCCATCTAGAGGTATCATCGTCACCGTAATTACAAAGCAAGCCCACCCACGCTCCGCGTCACAAGAGGTCGCCTCAAAGGCATGCTACCTGATGCTCATGGCATTCGCGTGCCCATGTCCCGGAGCCTGCCATGAAAAACACCTTGAGATAAAATCAAAAATATCCGTAAAGGTCGGCCTGGTCCGGACGTGGAACCCGCTGCGTGGATCGAAGTCCCTGGAAGAGCCCATGTGCATTAAATAAAAGCCAATGTATTGAGAAGAGGTCGTCCTACTACCCGCGACGCCCCTCAACGAGCAGAGCCACCCCTCCATGAGAGGAGGCTCCGGAAGCAGTGGCGGCCGGGTGTGGCGTGTGAAAGAGTGTGACAAGGAAGTGTAGGAATTATACATTGAGCTCTCCCGACGAACCGGCCTTTGTAATGTGTACTGTGTGCTTGTCGCGCGTCTGCGTCTGATCATCGACGAGAGATGTATCAGCCGTTTACAGCATGAAGGCGAAGAAGAGGCCAATGG